TTGTATGTGTGTGTGTGCTTATTAATTTTTATTTCAGTTTTAGTTATTTAGTATATCAAGTTAATTATTTATTATTATTATTTATTTATTTTTTAATGTTTGTACATTTTATACTTTTAATATTTTATTTCAGTTAATGTTATTAAAAGTGTTTTTTTTTTATGGTTTTAATTTATTTTTTTGTTATTTTAGTTCCCTTTAATAACCACGGTCTATAGTGCAACAAGACTTTACAACAGGGGTCCCTCACTTGGCTTTTCAAGTCATTTGATTCAATGAGAACTTGTTAAAAATTACTATATAGAGATCTACCTGAAGAAATACTGAGCTTATCAACAAAAAATGCACATTGACTGTAGACATTTAAATGACTATTCCAGGTCTGGAAAATCACAAATTTGAAATTGCCTGGTATTTCTAGGACTGTGGGAACTCTGTGGGGTTAGAAGGAATGTCAGAATTATATAAACAGATGTTCATCCACCAACAAAAACAGTCCCACTTCCACAATATTATTTAGACAACTGTAAACATTTTAAACAAACACAATTTTAAGTGCACAATGAATGTGCTATAACAAAAATAGAACAGTGGCCCTACTGAGTCCCACTTTAAGTACATTAATGGAAGCATTTGTCATTATCTGTGGAAAAATGGCAATATGAGAGAGACTTTAGCTTGTATTTAACCTGGAATTCATCCCTCTTCGAAAATCAACAAGTGAACAACCATGCTATTCTGGGGTGTGTTTCCTAAAAACAATGGTCACAAGTTCCGTCGTTGCCAATAGAATTCAATGGAACTAACGACCATAGTTAGCTAACGATGGTTATGGGAAACGCACCCCAGAGCAGTTCAATGATCTGAAGGGGATGAGTATTTAAAATGATTGCAGAGCGAATGCTGGGTGTGACCTCGTCCTCCCCAGAGCTGTGAGGGGGGCTGGACGCTGTTCTCTCTTGCATAGATGGGTTGTTTCTCATCCACGCCCGACAAATGGGATAGAGTGGCATGGTGGTGCTGAACTGAGCCAAGTCCACACTGCGGTCAAATAACTTGATAATATAAGCATCTGATGGAGAAGACAAGATGTGGAGCATGTAAGAAAACAGGAAATGGGTCTTACGAGATCAAGACTTAAAAAAAAAACCTTCCATTTAATTCTCTAAACCTTGGCATGAAATAAAGGTCCCTCAACAACCACACATGTTGACTGATAAGAAAACCCAATGGTGTTTCTCAGAAATGATAAAACATTTTACTTATCTTTAAGATACAAAATTGCCTATATACATAGGGAGAATTCAAATTCTGCACTTATTGCCATTTATTTCAAATTTACTTACACATTACCTAATTCAACCTACACATCACTATTTGTTTCTTCTTTGGTCTTACTTTGTTTGTGCTGGTTGGTTTCTGCCAGACCATCATCCATCTCTTTACGCTTCTTCCTTCTGTGTTGTGGAAATCGTGATGATGGTCTGTGAAAGGCAAAAAGGGTCTCTTAAAGCAAACTCTACCAAACCATTTAGGAATGAATCTAGGCTGTTCTGTTAGTATTACTATTGTAAATATTTACAAAGCACACTTCGAATGTTGAATAGCCTTAAGAAGTGTACACACAGCTGGTAGTAAGGCTAGTTGACATAATGAATATTTATGATATATTTGCAATGGTTTTTCAGATTTGGAGAGATTTAGCATTACATCACTTGCTCACCAATGGATGCTCTGCAGTGAATGGGTGCCGTCAGAACACATCACAATAATCCACATGACTCCAGTCCATCAGTTAATGTCATGTGAAGTGAAAAGCTGTGCATTTATAATTTAAAAAAAAATCCACCATTAAGACGTTTTAACTATAAAGCGTCACTTATGGCCAAAATATGAGTCCATAATCCATTCTAAATAAAAGATTATCCATCAAAATACACCAGCATATTTGTTTAGTATTGATCTGTGCATAGTTCCCACCTGATTCAGACTTTTCTCTGGAGAAAGCAATATTAAGGAATTTTTGAAGGTAAAAAATGTCTTGATGAATTTGTTTCTTACAAAAACGCAGCATTTTATCTCAGGAGACGTTAATTAATGGGTTGGAGTCGTGTCTATTACTTGTGGTGCTTTTATCAGCTGTTTGGACTCTCACTCTGACGGCACCCACTCACTGCAGAGGATCCATTGGTGAGCAAGTGACGTAATTTAATTTCTCCAAAATTTCTCCAAATTTGTTCTGATGAAGAAACAAACACATCTACATTTTGGGTGACCTGAGGGTGAGTATATTTTCAGCAATTGTTTATTTGTGGGGAAACTATTCCTTCAAAGTAAAGGTCAAAGAAGATTCTGCTTGCCTTTTCCCTGCAGAAGAAGGCGACAAATCCCTGTATAAGAGAAAGGAATAAAATATTTCATGTGCATTACATATGACTGTTAAATAAATCTTTAACCATTTTACATCTTCAACACTTTTCTGGTCAAAAGAGGAAAATGTTTATATCAGTCACACAAAAACAATGTATATGCATACTTGCTCAAAGAGTCTGCCACCATTTTCCCAGAATCCTCTTCATTCTGCTCTCTGCAGGAAAAGGAAGAAAGAGCACAAAGGATTATACAAATGGCAATTTTCCCCAAACAACTGCTCTCTACTTTATAAAAGTTATGTATTGCCAGTATTCCTTTCCTGAATTGTTACAATTCCGGATATTTTGAAAGGTTTGCAGGAAACAAATTAAAGCATTACTGTTGATGATCAATGATTTGATTGTCCTTTAAAAAAGGAAAACATGAGAAACAAGAGAGTATTTCCACAAACATAATTATAGCAGTAAACAACCTCAGACTATTAGGGTGGCAATTATTCAGACAGCTGAAATGTAAATGGATTCTAACAAGAAAGCTATTAATCAATACCAAATATTTTTCTGAGCTCAGTGGAAACCAAATCTCTGGGATGCCATAAATGGTCTTTATTTTCAGAGAATCCAGTTGTTCAGATTTCCTAATAACTTCCTGTTGTCCTAGAAATTTGGTTCTCCAATTCTGTGGAAATTCCAAAAAACACCAGATTCCAAATACTTTAGGGATGCAGGTGGCGAGCGTGACATTCCTGATATGTTTTCTCAGGATACAAAACAGGAGTAAAATATGTTATTGATAGGGGATTCTTTGCCAAGTTAAAATATATTGGCACAGAAAGAAAATGTTAAAAATATAATTTTGTTACAATAGACATTACAAGTTTTATATTGAAACTGGAAAGTCAATTTAGTTTTACTTCTATAGTGCTTTTCACAATACACTTTGTTTTAAAGCAGCATTTACATAAAATCATGATGTAAATTTTTATAATATCTCCATGTCTTAAAGTCACATTTGGAAGAGTAGAGCTGGGCGATAATTAACATTTTGTGACAATATAAAAACAAGTGAGTGTACAGTATGTATGCGAGTAAAGTCAGCTGTGCGATAATATATCTTACATTTTGTGACAATATGTTGAATTGAATCGCTGTGTCACTAACATTGTATATCATACATTAATTCTGTTCTGACAGACTGTTATTTTACATTTTGCAGCACTTTCACTTTTAGTGAGACACATTTTTACAGTACGATATTACATTAAGACAATCTTCTAAAGTGGACCCATCACTAATGAGCTTTAATTACATGAGGTCCATTTGTAGCTTCGCTGTTACAGTTTGGAGCTTTCAAAGCTCAAGACACATTAATGCACTAACCTCTCACTGTCACTCCTCTCAACCAAACCTTGCAATACTGCATCAAGGCGGTTTCGAGCCCCAGCATCTGCAAAATAATTTTTTTTTTACCACACAAAACACTACACAATAGAAATGAAAAAAGAAGCTTATGTTTGCAACCTCACCTGTTTTCTCAGTCTTGATTTTACAGTGAAGCATTGTACCTCCTGGTTTGTTTCCTGTAATTTTATTAATATGAGGATTTAGTGATGTGTTAATTACTATATGACTAATATAAAAGATTACTGTAAACAAAATTCGCGAACACAATTACTGTAAAATTACGGTAATTTGCTGCAGTTTGATATACTTTTGATATACCCAACCTCCCACACACACAAACACTGGTACTTTGCTTAAAACGGCCGTAACTCCTACATGGTAAATGTCATATTTTTGTGGAACCTCTTAAAATAAAGCTAAAAGTCTGCACTTCAATCACATCTTGGTTTTATTTCAAATCCATTGTAGTGGTATATAAAAGTAAAAGCACAAAAACTCAGTCAGTGTCCGAATACTTCTGGACCTGACTGTATATGTATATACAGTCAGGTCCAGGTCCACACACACACAAGTAATAGTGTTTATGTATATGGTAGTAATTATAAATGCAGTGTGTGTATACACACACTAGTAATAGTAGTGTTTATGTATATGGTAGTAATTATAAATGCAGTGTGTGGGTGTGTGTGTGTGTGAGTGTGTGTGTGTATATACAGTGGGTACGGAAAGTATTCAGACCCCCTTAAATTTTTCACTCTTTGTTATATTGCAGCCATTTGCTAAACGTTACAATGATATAAACAGCTGACGTTAGCTAGCTAGGAAACCACTTAAATTCTTCATTAACGGTATTTAAAATCTTCGCCAACTTCATAAATACCTTAACAATACCATAATACTTTAAATAACATCATTTGGAATGTAAAAACACTTTATAAATCCAAAACAACACGCTATTCACCTTCCACTCCTTAGCTGAGAGACTGACAACGAGCCGCTTCTGTCACAATCCGACATTCCTCTTCCGCGCGCAATGAGATTCCTGGGTCGTCATTGGCTGCAGCAAATGAGAGCGCAGCGCTCTTATTGGTTAAAATTGCTGTCGATCACAAAATACGCCACTCTATTGGCTGGTCAACTGTCTTCGACCACAACGTAAACAACAGTTCTCGGACTACATATCCCAGGATACATCACAGTCACACAATTCGAAAAGTAAGCTGAGATCATTTTTTGACAAACATCAAATTATACAACATATTTGCAATGAGTTTATGGTTATATTCAGATCTAGTTTGTTTGTGAGAGTTTAAATAGCGTATAGCTTGTTAAATAGTGAGCTAAAAGACCGTTTAATCCCATAGTAACGTAATCACGCGACGGTTAAGATACACTCATGCAACACAGAAACACTGTCATGTAGTTTTGTTAAACGGCTGTGTCTTTATTTAGACATTCATGGATCCTACAGTATGACGAAACGTGCGTCCATTGTTTTTATTAAGCAGAACAGGTTTGCACGAACGCTATGAGATCAAGGTGGGTTGGATGTCAAATCCTGTCACATTAAACTTGTTTACATTTTGTTTACACATTGTCACTTTTCTTAGAGGCGCAGCTGTTTTCACAAGACAGAATCCATTTCCTCCGGATCCCCCTTTGTCCAGGAGCCACTACAGTCCATCTAGATCCAGAAAAATCCCAAAGCAACAAAAAAGACTGGTGAGAGAACTGGCTTTGCATTCACTTTATGTTTTATGTGCCTGTGTATTTTGTGACTCTTTCTTGGTTTGCATTGGAGAAATTCTACATTTTCCCCCCACAATTTTTACATTTCGATCTAAAAAGTACAATAACTGCAATATAGGAAGTATTACTGCTTGAAACATTCGACATTGCATAGTGCATTTTATTCTCTACAGTATGCACTATGCACTGTGCACTATTTAGTAGTAGACTAGTCTCTACTGTGAATGCTGAGATTAGAAAAACAAAGTTTTAACTTGCAAAAACTCATGGTAATGTTGTTTTTTGGATTGCACATCGCAGGTCTTGAGTCCTGTCCGGTTTTCTGAGTCACCCAGTCCTTCAGATCTTCCTACTCGGGCATCACCTTTGAGGACGGAGGACCAGGTCTTCCATGAAAGATCACGTAGTGTCCTGCTCTGTCCTCCTTCTACTCAATGCCAGCTGAGCTACTCCGAGTCTTGGCCTTCTACTGACCTGAGTTGCTCTACAGACAACATTAACACTTCTGTCTGCTCTGAAGCTCAGATACAAGCCATGAGAAACATGGTTGCACCAACAATAATTGAGGCAAAGGAACCCTCAGTTCTTGCAAAGTAAGGGAAATCATTGTGCTGTAATGGCAATATCACTTTTAATGATAAATAAACCTTTATAATCAAATGTTTTAAAATTGGAAAACAAGGCTCATCTGAACTACTGAAGCAGCAATGGTATGATGTCCAACTATTGACTATATTTAGAGATATAAATGACTGTAAACGTTTCGGGTTAGTTAAAGGAAGTTATTACTTTTATTTAGCAAGGACGCATTCAATTGACTAAAAGTGATGGTAAAGACATTTATAATGTTACAACATGTTTCTATTTCAAACAAATGCTGTTCTTTTGAACTTTCTGTTCATCAAAGACTCCTGAGAAAAATGTATCATGATTTTCACAGAAAATATTAAGCAGCACGACTGTTTGCGACATTGATTAAAAATATGAAATGTCTCCTAAGCAGCAAATCAGCATATTAGAATTATTTCTGAAGGATCTTGTGACACTGAAGACTGGAGTAATGATACTGTAAATTCAGCTTCACATTACAGGAATAAATTACATATTAAAATTTCAAATAGAAAACAAGTATTTTAAATTCTAATAATATTTCATAATATTACTGTTTTAAATGTTTTAAATAAGTACATTAAATATATTCAAGATCTTGGTCATGGTAGGTCTGTTGTAAAAAGATTTTTACATCTGGAAGTGGACCTTGTTGTCTAAAATAGAGTAATTTCACTCACCATTTGCTACGCAGTGAGCCATTCATTTAAAATATAAACAGTATCATCCTTTCTTTTTAAAGGAAAGCTGAAGTAATGTTGCCACATGTGGTGACACATTATTCTCAGATGAGCATATCCAGGGTGTTTAATGCAAGCGTTATGTTTACCTTGAAAGGGTATGTTGTTGCTTGTTAATTATATGACATCCTTTTGCAATTAAATCCTTCAAGGTACATTGAACGCTTCCGTTTCGGAAAGCCACAGAGTCGAGACGAAAGACGCCTTCAGGCAACTGATGCAGAAGATGACCAGCCGTTTTGGTGGATGTCCACATCCCCTCCATCCAGTTCAACACCAGCACACCCATCAGAGAAATATATCAGAGGTGTGCTTTAAAGAATACGTCTGTCATTAATAATACGTTTTCGGTGGGTTGATATTGTAAATTATTTCAGTGCACAAATCACGCTCTTCCTTTGTACTTAGATTCTTACTTATGTATGTCCTGTTTATAGCACCACTTGACCTCATGAAGGATGGCCCCGCCAGCACCCAGAGCCCAATCTCAAAGCCACTGCATGATGAAACCACGCTGTCTCCAGCTAGACAAATGCTTGACCTTAGTATGCTGGTGAGTTTTGCATAAAATTGAACAACTGATTTGCCTAGAAAAGCTGAAGGCATTTTGACCATGTGTTAAAGAGGGTGACAAATATTATACAGTTTATATTGCTGTAGGGCTTTTATATGTTGCAGATGCAGCTGAATTTTGTTCATGAAATAAAAAAAAGAAGACATATATATATTTTCACATGTTGCCAGATGCTGTAATGTAGCATCGTGGATGACTGTCGCCATCTAGTGGTGGTTGCTGTAAAATCTTCCTCCATGAGGTTCTTTATTTAGAGCAGGAGTGTGTATACCTTTCTAAAAGTTTGAGGTCAGTACGTTTTTTTTTTCTCTTTAGCACTAAATCAACATATTTGAAATAATCTCTGAAGGATCATGTGACACTAAAGTAATAGCTACTGAAAACTCAGCTTTGCATCACAGGAATAAATTACATTTTAAAATATCTTACCAAAGCTGTTATTTTAAACTCTAACAATATTTCACAATATTGCTGTTTTCACTGTATTTTTTATTGAATAAAAGCAGCATTGGTGGGCATAAACATAAAAAAAAAACATTAAAAAAATCTTACATCGACCCCAAACATTTATATATTACTTTATGAATGGATAAATTCGCTAAGTACCAAATGATAAACACAATGAAACAAATTTTATTCGACCTTATTTTATCTTGTTACTATGTTGCACAAATCTGCAGGGGCAATATTGGAATGCTTTGCTTAACTTTCTGTCTTACATGTTAAAGGGGTCATATTATGTTGCTAAAAAGAACATTATTTTGTGTATTTGGTGTAATGAAATGTGTTTATGCGGTTTAAAGTTAAAAAAACACATTATTTTCTACATACTGTATATTATGGTTTCTCCTCTATGCCCCGCCGTTCTGAAACGCGTCGATTTTTACAAAGCTCATCAGTCTGAAAAGCGAGGTGTGCTCTGATTGGCCAGCTATCCAGTGCGTTGTGATTGGCCGAATACCTCAAGTGTGTGACGGAAATGTTACGCCCCTTACCATATTGTGATGCACTGTCCGGCCGGAGCGACGATTCATAAACATGAAAACCCATTATAGACTAGGCATTTGTTGCATCCAGTGGGGACATAATTATGGATTATAATGACTCATACTGTCTTTTTATGCGTTGCGTTGCATCGCGCCGCGTAAACATAAAACCATGTCTGCATTTGTGATCGGAGAAATGACAAACAACATTGTAGTCTACTCTTCCAGGATCAGGAAACAGTTCTCCATAAAATGTGCTGCACGCAAATTAATATTTGGGTTGAAGTGTTATGGAACAGTGTTGTAAATACAACTTAACCACTGATTTCTAGTCTTGTCCTCTTTTGGAAGACCAAACAATGTAGTTTCACTTTCACAACGAAACACACGTAGGGCATGAGTGAGCGGAGGCCGGAGGGCTAGAGTGAGCGGAGACCGGCGGCTAGAGTGAGCAGTGGCGGGCGGGCTTGAGAATGGCGCGGCCGGTGGATTCGACAAAGGAGCGGCCGGTGGGCTTGCGGCAACCACATGTGTACGACCCCGGGCTGGACTCTGCTTCGTCCACGGTGAAAGC